TTAAGTAACAGCTGTTCCTGGAGATCTCTAGACTAAATAGGCCAGTGATTAGACCGACCACACACTTGCATATTTGATGTTAGCTTTTTTCTGATTGTGGGTGATAGTGAGTGTTCAGATTTGAGTCATATTTTTTGTTTACAGCTGTAAAAGAAAGCTTTTTTTTTCTCAAGATGAATTGTATATTTTATATATAAAATATTCCTTTATTTTTTAATACATTTTCATAATTGACTTACCAAATATTGATGTAAATTAAAGGTAAAGTTCTTTCTTTTAAATTGTTGTGGTTTATTTTATAGTGGTATAAGCATATATTAAATTGATTAAGATATTCTAATGATTTTCTTGTGACAGAAATTGTAACAGTTCTTTAACTGCAGAGGTAACCATGATATTTTTGCTTTTCTATCAATGCCATCTAATGTCAAGAGATTGATTTTGCACTTTCATTTAACTAGTCAACAAGCAAATTGTATGTAAAATAGTTAAAAGTATTAACTATTTGTGTTGGTCAGCCCTAATATTGGTTTAGTGCATGTAGATTTTTAATTGTTCCCATTTATGTTAGATCATTTTACCCAGAGTAAATTTTCTGGCTTTAAGTTTTAAAGGCATACTGCTTAACAATGCACACAAGAAAGCTCACACACGTTTGAAGCAATCTGTGTTTGAAGCACCTTTTGACTTTTTTTTTTTTCCTCCAGCTTTCTTGCTAGATTTTTGTGCGTGTCTGTTAGTCAGGCTGGGTTTGTGTTTGAAGTGTAAATGCTGTGTGTAACAGTATGTCTGTGTGTGCTGATAATGCTCAGTTTAGGTATAGGTGTACTAGTTCTGCAAAAATAGAATTTTGTTGGTACGATGAATAATCACAGTTATCACGGTTATCATACATTAATTAGTTTCACAGTAATTTTTAGTTTAAAAAAAATCACATGGAAACATCTTTTATTTTAAAGTGTTATGTATTGCTGCTAAGTAATCAAATAATACAGCACCAAATAATACTAAAAACGAGCAAAAGTCAATTTTTCTCTTTGGAATTAAAAAAGTGAAAATGAGTTTTGACTTAAACGTAAGTCATGCTTAAACTCTGAAAAAATTAGTCTTCGTCTATTCGGGACAAAGGCTGCTGGACCTCTAACTAAAAGGTTCTTTTGCTCAACTATATCACAAAAGCATTTTAATTTTGTGCTTTTCTTCTACTTAACTTTTTTTTATCTAAGTATTAAAAAAAATAACTAACTTTGACCTCAACATAATAGCTGCCTTAAAAAAATACAGCACTGCGAAAATAAATCAGAAAAAGCAAGGGCCACATCTCTGGAATTGAAAATTAGCTAGCTTTACACATTCTTTTGAAACAAAACAAGGAGTCAAAGGCTCCTTGTCAAAGTGTTTAATCACTTGATTTTCTGACACTGACACACTATAAGAAGAGAGAAATTTAATCAATTTTTTTTGTATAACTTCAGCAAAAAAAAAAACAACAACTCTCTTCTCGTTCATTTGAACTTTTACATCACAAGCATGATAAATAGACATATGTACCAATTAGCGTTAGCAGGCTGCAAACAAAACTTCTTTTTTTAAACCAAAATTAAACCAAATCGTGTGCTTCCACATATAGAAGCCAAATAAATGCAAATCACATATTTAAAATACAAGTTCTTGTTTAGATTGCGCAGATACAAAATGTCAAATAATATCCAATACAACTTATATTTCAAAATTGCGTTTATGTACAGGGTCATTGCTAAGGATTTTTTCAACTGGCCTGATTGGACCAGTGGTTCAGATTTTTACTTGCCCTGCCAAAATTTTCACTGGCCCCGCTAAAAAAAAAAAAAAAAAAAGTTAATTGCTATTTATTAGCCACATATATTAAATAACGTGTCACGAAATAATGTATGTGAATGCAGAATTTAAATGTTTGAAAAATGTTAAAATATTTAGCAGTAAAACATAGCAGTATGGAAAATGCGCAGGTATTTTATTCCAAAACAAATGGTGGCTGACTTAAAAGTGACGACAAACTATGCAAAACATCACTTCAATTTTTTTTTTCATGCTGTACTCATTTGAATGTTTCCACAACGTTAGAAACAGACGTTTTCTTTTAGCCTCATAATTTGATGTTACGGTCATGTTGCCGTCTATTTAAATTTAGTGACAAGGCAGCACTGCCCCGATCGGGCCAGCCACCATTCTGTCTACGGTCCCGAGCATCTCTCACGCTGGCCCTGGGCCATCGGGCAGTCCTTATTGTTGAGCCCTGATGTATATTGTTACATGCTGGCTCAAGCATGCAACAAATGAAGGGAACCAAACCAAATTAAAAAAATATATATAAAGATTTATTTATTTAAAAATAAAGTGCAAAGGTGTGTCAAAATAACCTATAAGTATATTAAATGTCTAACAAAACATAACATATAACATTCAAAACAACAAATAACATTAGAGCAAATACCAAAATAAAGTAAAATAATATGAGCGATGGGTAAGCCAAAGAAAGTCAAACGGAAATGTTCCTCCAAATCAGTCTCTCGAACACATCTTTGCAGCTCTTTAAATAAGCCGTAGGGTTAGCCACACCTGCTCATAACAATTCACCTATTAAGAAAAGAAAGCAAAAGCCAGAAAACAGCTTTTTATATGTTTTTAATATATTTTATAACAGCGTTATATATATGAATGACAAGATAGCAGTGTCATAAACATTGTGAGGACCAAGCAATATCTCTCCATTGAGAACCAGGCCAAAAAAGTGCCTTTTTTAAGCTCAAAAACGTAAAGGTCCCATGTTTGTCGTAATCTCTACCTAAACCTAGTAGGACATAGTGTAGCCCCTCCCCCTTTTTAAAAACAGCCATTTTGTTTTATCACTCGCTCTGCCAGTGAGAGTGGTTGAGCTCAAGTGCGTCAAATGAAAAGTGTCTTAAAGGGGGCGAGGCAAGTCAGACACTAGAGAGTATTTGATAACAATACTAAACTAACACAAAACTAAAAATACTGATGCTTGCATCTAAACAACTTTATTTTAATTTCATTTGGTCTTTAATGCTTATGCACTGATTGCATAACTTGTTGCGCAAATTATAATAGCTCTATTCTGTGCTAAAGATACTATTGCAATTGTGCAACAGTGCAACAGAAGTATTGCACGGCTTTATAATTGATTAACTGATCATTTAAAGGGCGGCTAATAAATGGATTGAAATGGATTAATCGCTGCATCCCCAAGGTGGACGCATGTAAAGTGAGTTTAAGTGAGACAAAGCTTGTCCCAGCAATCTTCCGCTCTGTTTGTCAGATTATCGAGCTGATGTTACCTTTCACATTTGATGTCAGACTTCAGAGCAGTTTAGTGTCTTCAGTCTTTGGGAATGTGAGGTCAAAGCTCTGTCACTCGCTGCCATTCATTTCCTCTTTTCGAATTAGATCATCTGTCGGTCTCTCTCATGCTCTGTTTCACTTTTGTCCCGCTCCCTATCTTTCTGTATCTGAGGTGTACCAGCATGTGTTTGTTTGTGTGCGTTGTGCATGTCTTTTTTCTGATAGACATCAAAGAAGCCCATCGAGAAGGAAGTGATGCGTGTATGACAACGCCACACCCTTTTCGTGCCGTGACATTTTCCTTTGTGCTTTCCTGTCTGATCCCTTGTTTCCTGAACTGACTGTCCTTCCCCCTCTCCTTCACCACTCCTTTCCTATCTCCTTGCTCTCCCAGGACCTAAGGAAATACAGCAGATCCCAGGGAACAGGAAATGACTGTACAGATGGTCTTTGATCAAATCATAATTGATCAAGTACCAGCTGGATGCTGGAACTACTTTTTAGGCAATTTCTTCAAAACTGCTGCATAATTTAAAAATGTTTATAAGTAAAATTGGTCATTACATAATTGTTGTTTAATGCTGTACACGCTTGCATCATTACATAGCCAAGTCATGCTTCTGAAAAACCAAACCCAAGTTAAAAAGGCGATGTAGATCTACAACCTTTATTTTTAAAACTATAATTGGAAAACTTTTTATGATCTTTCATTGATGGTGTTGAAGACTTGGGCTGTTTCTTAATATGCGTTCTTCAGCAATCTTGCGTTCTCGTGTAACGTCATCATCAGCTGCCAAATTTCAGTTCCAAAACTTAAGACCGTAAGAAAGGAGAATGCGTGAAAGTTCTCAGATGTGTTCTTGATATCTAGAATGCATCGATGCAGACTTTAGCACAAAACTTGCTCGAGAAGTGTCCCAGAAGACGTTGTGGCTGAATAAAGGAGGTGGGAAGTGCAGCTTTGCTTTCTTTTCCATTTAATTTAAGTTGAGAGATATAGCTTATCTGTCTGAGGAGTTTTAAAGATCGGCAAAGGACCTTAAGCCGGGAATCAAACTCTGGTCACTGTGAGCACCTTATGCTATATGTTGATACTCTTCACCACTAGGCTGTTGGATTATTACGATATTCTTTTGCATATGATATAGTTGGCTCATGTCAATGTGATGTAATGGATATTCTTTTTTGGGGGCAAACACTTTTTCTAAAAATAGAGTGATTTATTTATTTATTTCGTTTTAATAATTTTTTTTTTTTTTGTAAAAATTATGTCATGAGGATTCAAATAAATTAGCCAATAGCATAATTAACCCAAACATATATACTTGTATTCAAATACAGGTAAAATACAGGTTTAATTCATGTTTTCAATATTACACAAACAAATGCACATAACCCTACTTTCGGCACAGTTTTTCACCTCAACACACATGCACACATCCATTTAATTTAAGAGTCGCAGGTGTGTTGTTGGGCTTTATACTGGTGCAGTGTTATACTTCAGTCTGTTTAATAACTTCATGAAGGCCCTAACAATCCCTCAGGGTCTAACACACAGCCCTAATAAGGTTAATGACAGACTGTCTGGATTACGGCACTTTACACGCTTAGCATGTTGAGGCACACAAGTGCACAAACTGTAGTGTGGTACGTGGAGGAGGAGTTTTTGAGGGCCGAACATTTGGTCTCAGGAACCAGATGGTGTAAATGGGTGGGATGGTGGGCAGGAAGGGACGAACACCCACCCCCCTCTCCCCCTCAGGATATCGCCACCACAGTAAATCAGATCCCACTCCACTTTCCTCAGAGACGATTTGGTTAAACGGGACTCTTTGCTATGGCTTTGTTTGGATAAAAACTGCTTTCCCGGTTGGACCTTATGGAAATGTGAGATTATATGCTGAACTTTAGAAGATTGTAGGTGTTTGAATGGCTGTGGCAGATACTCGTCTGAATGCTAATACATAATGTTGGACCAGTGGACTTTAAGTGATTAGGATGGAGAGGTCATCCAAACAGCTCCGAAAGGGTCATGGTGAGTCTTAACCTTACTTGATTCTTCAGTGGATCTGCCCGCAGGCTCCATACTAAGTGCCTCTGGGTAGATGGCCTGCTTGCTGTAACTGTGTGATTTGATTTAGAGCTGAGAAATGGAGAGATTGAAATCATTTCTAATGATTGGTATTAAATCTTATATTTCATACACGCTTTTTTAAAATTTGGCGCTACAGATTTCCATTTAAGATGACCTTCATGTGAAGGCCCTCATTTTAAAATGTCCTGTGAAAGTCATTGTGTAGACTATTGGATTTCTTTTAACATTACCATGTCTTTTTATTGTCAGATCTGTTAGAATTATTGAAATTATGAAATGGTCTGAAAACGTTTTAATAGTTGTGATTCTTGTGAAATGTTTCAATCCTAATTTTTACCCTGTCTTTATTGTATCAATATTTTATTTTTAATTTATTTATTTTCACAGATCATATAGCTTAGGTTTGTATGCTCTGGACTCCATATATGATCTTGATTTGTGATTTGAAATGTGTAAAATATTACTTTGAGAAATGGGAATATGTAAGAGAAACCTGCCTTCAAAATAATTTTTAAATGGATAAAGAAAGAAAGAAAGATTAAGTAATAATGCCTGATCAATTGTAACGCTGCCAAAATATGTTAATTACATTATTTTTTTAAATATTACCAATATAATAATTTTTAAAATGCAAATTTTCTCTGGAACTTCCTGTGGACCCCCTAGCACCCTCTTGTGGACCCTGGTGGTCCACAGCCTAATTTTTGAAAACATTAAGGATTATTGGAAAGTTTTTCCTGACACTTTAATCCCAAAATATGTAGCACTCTTCAACCATGTAAGACCAAACGTGTGTGTGTGTTGGTTGTAACTGTGTTTAATAGCTTTCTTTTGAACTAACTGGTACAGAAACACACCACTGCTTATGACACACAGGATTTAGTGAGAATTTGACCTTTGAACTCTAAACTTGATGTCAATGAGTGAGAAAATGCTAATCATACATTTGTTTGTTTGTTGGGTGAATGAGAGGAGAAGTGTAAGGAGAAAAGAGAGGCATAAACAGGATTGGTAAAGAAGTGTAATTGGGGTAAGTGGAGGTGGACTATGGGATTGTGGGTAGAAGCCAAAGAACCGCAAAGAACAATGAGCTGTATTCAGCCAAACACACACACACACATACACTCAGCTAGAGCACTGAAAACATTTCCTTCCCCACACACACATTTCACAGATGCTATTTATTTATTCATACAGCAGATGTTTCAATTTAAAGGCCTTTTAATTTCTTGCACCCAAATCTGGTCTTCTTAAACTGACTTTGAAATATAGTAGGACGTTTGTTGAAGGGATAATTCACCTCAGAATAAAAAAATTGTAATCATTTAGACACAGCAATGTCTTTTTAAGCAGTATTAGTCTTCAGAATAGAAATGAAGAATCCGATTTTTGACCCCTCGATTGAAAGACCCTAAACCTTGACACTTCAAAACATCCTTAAAGAGCCATTAAATCCAAATGTTAGATATCTTGGATCATCTTCCTTAATCCAGAATCAAAATTATGTAAGATGAACCCATGTTATTTACCCATGTATTCACATATGAACATTGATCAGCCAACCATTGCGTCATTCAAATTTGGACCCAGAAGATCAATCAAACTTGCTTGACACATGAGAACCAATGAAGTTTATTGCTGTCTGCCACATGGCATGTGTTTAGATATAAAAAACAAACATTTCGTAATGTATATTTCATGTTTCTCAGAAGAAAGTCAGTCCTACATGTCTAGGATGGCGTAATCCTAACTTCTGTGTAGACTTTTACTTTACAGCATGTGTGGATGTGATCTGTTTCTCAGAATGAGGTATGTGCTCTGCATGTAACAAAACTATTCAGAAATCGCCAGCAGATCCACTTATGTTCTTCTGAAACATAGTGATGCCCTGTGAAAAGGGTGGTGGCGACTCAGACTCTTCTGAAGAACACAGGGTCTCTTCAGAAATGCACAGACACTCTTCAAAATGCAGAGTCTTTCGAAACACAGAGACTTTTCAGAATCACACAGAGGCTCCACTGACAAGTTCAGCCGCTCATCAGGAAACACTGTGACTTTTGAGAAATGTACTCTGACCTTTCACTTTCATCAGCAACACAAAGATGTCATAGAATTTCAAGAAATGTATTCAAGCACATTGAGAAATATGGCAGAAGATCTCATGAGTGGCCTAGTCAAATCACTTTTGACTGTTGTACCTAAATTTAGGTTTTGACTGACTGATTACAGAAATCTTTCCTATGAATGTGACATTATAGAACAGCTGTGCTATTTGGTAAACGTTATTTTGGGTTTCTCCAAAAAATCTCACAAAAAAAGAGCTTATGGAGGCAGAAAAAGAGCTTGTAAATATAACCATAAAACACCCAAGATTTTGTTTACATAATAAAAAAAAAATTCCAACACTCAAAGCCTTTTTTTTGTGATGCTTTTCTGTTTGCAGCAGTAGTAGCTAGCTACACTGCATTAGTGTTGTCAAAGCCGCAAAGATCTGTTCGTTCGTATTTCAGCTCATAGACAGACCAGCTGATCTTTGCAGCTTTAAAGCTCTCTAGTGTTTCTGTATCTGTGTTTGCCCTCCGTAAACAGTGGTGAAGTGTAGTGAACTGATGAGCTTCACGGCCAATTACTGTCACTTCTGTTTAGCATGTGAAAGCAAATCATCGGTATTTAATAACACGCTCAACAGCATATAAATGTTAGCAGAAAATGGATGTTTTAAATTTTTTTTTGTTGTCTTTATGTTCATGTTTACATAGGCCTATCACTGTGTGTGCAATGTTTGTATATTTATAACCACATTATTTTGGGGGTCGTGGGCTAAATTTTTAGGAACCCCTGCTATAAACGACAATGGAGAACATACAACAAATGTTGTTCTTGCTTTCTGGCATATGTTTGCTAAACCCAAGAAGAAAATAATCTCTGGTAGACCAAGGTTCGTTGCTTGGTTGGTGTCATGTCTTAGCTGTGTTGTTCTTTCCGATTCAAGTGAGAATTCTATGGCATTCAGCATCACTCCTATTTGGTGCAAGGTACTCTTACGAAAGCTTTCCAAAAAAGTTGTACAAAGGTTTGCTATTTTGGTACTTTGGACAGTGGAAACCATCTCAGATGACCATATTTAGAGTCATCTTTCCCTTTGATTACTGTTTACATTTTTGTTGTCATTGATTTGACAACCTTATGCAATGTCCACACATATTTCCAACAAAAGTTGCATTCATATTGGACAGATCTTGTAGCACCCCCACCATCTGAGTCTGAGTCATCTACTCCAGCTCATCTCAAGACTTTCAATGGGGTTCAGGTCAATTGGTGGTCAATTCACGTGTGAAATTGGCTAGATTTGTCATACTAACAACGTGTAAGAAGGCTTCATTGACATCCTTGAATATGGCCATGGGGAGCCAGAGATTTTTAAATAAACTATTACAAAACATTTTTATTAGATGATACTGACTGTTTCATTAGATTATATAGATTTTGGAGTTTGTGCATTTCCTGCTGAGAACCCATGACATTGGCTTGGCTGTTGAATGCCGTAGTGTTTGATCTGTTTTATTGACCTTATTCTAAAATGCGGAAGTGCGCCTGTTTTCGCGACTGTCTTAGAACTTCCGATTCAGTCGCCTATGGGAGAAATGACTAGGAATAATAAACGGCAGAAAATGGCCAAACTACTTGCTCTACAAACAAATGTTTGCATGACTACACAGACCAAGTTGCATAATATAATAAGAAAATTTTAAATTGCAACATCAAGCAGCGTAACGAGCAGTTGTTAATGTCAAAAAATGAATGGAAGTGAATGTGACCGGAAGTCGCGAGACAAAAAGATTCAAATGGCAGCGCCCGCTCGACAGCTGAGAATAAGGTGAATACAGACTTGCAAATATGCTACAAGCATACAAAAGCTTTGGTGCCACTAATAATGCATGAAAATGTATTTTTGTTGTTAAATAATATTTTCTATTTTGTTGAAAATATAAAAAAGTAGTAAAACTATTGCCACATTTAAACAGTGATACCTATTTCAGCACTGTGTACTGATTTCTAAAATTAGCATAGAAATCTTAAAAGTGAATGTACACAAGAATAAATTATAATGGATTTATTCTTGATTATGTCTCATACATTGACTTATTGAACCACTTTAAATTATTGTTTCAGTTCAAAATGTTTACTTGGTTTACTTACAGCTGGGGTCCGTTCTTCGTACGTGGATTACTCAGTTAGCTGGATTTGGATATTGACGATTTGACACGATCCAGGATCGTTTCGTTCTTCAAAGCTGATCCGAGAGTTGTTGTCATAGCAACAGTTCTGCTAGCTTAAACCTGATCGGGAGCAGGTTCAAATTATATAAACAGGATTAGATCGGCTCAGTTCAAGCAAATATAATACAGAAAGTATGTACCGAATTCTGATATTTTCCTACAGTAGTAGTTATATACACTTGGGAAAATAGTAAATATTTTTTTAACTATATATATATAAAGTTATAGTTATTAATAAAATAAATAAAGGTATATATAATAATAAAACTTATGCAATCTGCACTCTCGAAATGAAAGTACAAAGACTGCCACCTGGTGGTGCACAGAGAAAACTTATTGATATGAACTTTTTAGATCGCTTAGTACAAATTGTGTGTAATAAACATGCACAATGTCACTTTTTTTTAAAGCAATAATACATTTATGCTGTCATAAACATGTTTTGATAGTTAATATGCCAGTGATTATGCTTCACAAAAGTTGCAGACGCCTTTTACCAATATCAAAATGCTTTTGTAAACAACCAGTTATTCTTTACACGGGTTAAAAAACCGGCTACTATAATAAAGAAAATCTTTTCTAAATGTAGAACTAAATACACTGATATGCATTGAAATACATGATGAATACTCTTGACACATGAAAGTGTAAAGCCTGCAG